GACCTGAGTCCTGAGTCCTGCTTCAGGTCCTCCTGGACTAGACCTGAGTCCTGCTCCAGGTCCTCCTGGACCAGACCTGAGTCCTGCTTCAGGTCCTCCTGGACCAGACCTGAGTCCTGCTTCAGGTCCTCATGGACCAGACCTGAGTCCTGAGTCCTGCTTCAGGTCCTCCTGGACTAGACCTGAGTCCTGCTCCAGGTCCTCCTGGACCAGACCTGAGTCCTGCTTCAGGTCCACATGGACCAGACCTGAGTCCTGCTTCAGGTCCTCATGAACCAGACCTGAGTCCTGCTTCAGGTACTCATGGAGGACCACCAACCAGCCTGGGTCAGAACCAGTGCTGTGCACAGCTAATCAGACAGTTAGCTTTCATCATGCTAAGCTAACCTTTCATCATGCTAACCTAAGCTAAGCTTTCATCATGCTAACCTAAGCTAACCTTTCATCATGCTAATTTAAGCTAACCTTTCATCATGCTAACCTAAGCTAACCTTTCATCATGCTAACCTAAGCTAACCTTTCATCATGCTAACCTAAGCTAACCTTTCATCATGCTATCTTAAGCTAACCTTTCATCATGCTAACCTAAGCTAACCTTTCATCATGCAAACCTAAACTAACCTTTTATCATGCTAACTTAAGCTAAGCTTTCATCATGCTAACCTAAGCTAACCTTTCATCATGATAACTTAAACGAACCTTTCATCGCTAACCTAAGCTAATCTTTCATCATGCTAACCTAAGCTAAGCTTTCATCACGATAACCTAAACTAACCTTTCATCATGCTAACCTAAACTAACCATTCATCATGCTAACCTAAACTAACCTTTCATCGTGCTATCCTAAGCTAACCATTCATCATGCTAATCTAAGCTAACCATTCATAATGCTAACCTAAACTAACCTTTCATCGTGCTATCCTAAGCTAACTTTTCATCATGCTAACCTAAGCTAAGCTTTCGTCATGCTAACCTAAACTAACCTTTCATCATCCTAACCTTACCTAACCTTTCATCATGCTAACCTAAGCTAAGCTTTCATCATGCTAACCTAAACTAACCTTTTATCATGCTAACTTAAGCTAAGCTTTCATCATGCTAACCTAAGCTAAGCTTTCATCATGCTAACCTAAGCTAACTTTCATCATAACCTAAGCTAACCTTTCATCATGCTAACCTACGCTAACCTTTCATCATGCTAACCTAAGCTAACCTTTCATCATGCTATCCTAAGCTAACCTTTCATCATGCCAATCTAAGCTAAGCTTTCATCATGCTAACATAAACTAACCTTTTATCATGCTAACTTAAGCTAACCTTTCATCATGCTAACCTAAGCTAACCTTTCATCATAATAACCTAAACTAACCTTTCATCATGCTAACCTAAGCTAACCTTTCATCATGATAACCTAAACTAATCTTTCATCATGCTATCGTAAGCTAACCTTTTATCATGCTAACCTAAGCTAATCTTTCATCATGCTAACCTAAGCTAAGCTTTCATCATGATAACCTAAACTAACCTTTCATCATGCTAACCTAAACTAACCATTCATCGTGCTGTCCTAAGCTAACCTTTCATCATGCTAACCTAAGCTAAGCTTTCGTCATGCTAACCTGAACTAACCTTTCATCATGCTAACCTTACCTAACCTTTCGTCATGCAAACCTAAGCTAAGCTTTCATCATGCTAACCTAAACTAACCTTTTATCATGCTAACCTAAACTAACCTTTCATCATGCTAACCTTACCTAACCTTTCATCAAGCTAACCTATGCTAAGCTTTCATCATGCTAACCTAAACTAACCTTTTATCATGCTAACTTAAGCTAAGCTTTCATCATGCTAACCTAAGCTAACCTTTCATCATAACCTAAGCTAACCTTTCATCATTCTAACCTAAGCTAACCTTTCATCATGCTAACTTAAGCTAACCTTTCATCATGCTATCCTAAGCTAACCTTTCATCATGCTAACCTAAGCTAAGCTTTCATCATGCTAACGTAACATATCCTTTTATCATGCTAACTTAAGCTAAGCTTTCATCATGCTAACCTAAGCTAACCTTTCATCATGATAACCTAAACTAACCTTTCATCATGCTATCCTAAGCTAACCTTTCATCATGCTAACCTAAGCTAATCTTTCATCATGCTAACCTAAGCTAACCTTTCATCATGCTATCCTAAGCTAACCTTTCATCATGCTAACCTAAGCTAACCTTTCATCATGCTATCCTAAGCTAACCTTTCATCATACTAACCTAAGCTAACTTTTCATCATGCTATCCTAAGCTAACCTTTCATCATGCTAACCTAAACTAAACTTTCATCATGCTAACTTAAGCTAACCTTTCATCATGCTACCCTTTCATCATGCTAACTTAAGCTAAGCTTTCATCATGCTAACCTAAGCTAACCTTTCAACATGCTAACCTAAGCTAAGCTTTCATCATGCTAACCTAAGCTAAGCTTTCATCACGCTAACCTAAGCTAAGCTTTCATCATGCTAACCTAAGCTAAGCTTTCATCATGATAACCTAAACTAACCTTTTATCATGCTAACTTAAGCTAAGCTTTCATCATGCTAACCTAAGCTAAGCTTTCAGCGTGCTAAACATGTAGTAAAATGAGGTCAAGCTCAACATGTAAGAATGAACAGAAGCTAACACTTACAGCTAACTGCTAAGATGACTGTCTGTCAGCCTGCACCATGTTGGGACATGAACCTGTTCATGTTAGCTTGATAGTTAGCTGTTAGCAGACTTCATGTTGGTAAAACATAATTTAGTGAAAGCTAATAGGTCAACTAATGGTTTTCAAAGTTAATGAAAAAGCTAATAGGCTAAATGAAAAATAATTTCTACCATTAGCTGTTAGCAGATTAGCAGAACCATGTCCATCACTGAGCTAACACTAAGCTGTTAAACAAACAGAATTAGCAGAAGCTAACGCTAACAGCTAACTGCTGACAGTCTGGTTCACACGTCTTTGTCTCCTTGGGTCTGAGGACTGCTGGGACACAAGTCTGTTCATGTTAGCTTGTTAGTTAGCTGTTAGCGTGTTAGCAGAAGCATGTTGTCACCGACACATGGTGAAGAATAAACTGTTGTTCCATGTGTTTAAAAGCAGTGTATGTGTTCAGAGTTTGACTCTTGTGTTTCAGGTACAAGAAGAACATCAAGGCTTTATACATCGTCCATCCAACCATGTTCATTAAGACTCTGCTGTTCCTCTTCAAACCCCTCATCAGGTTGGTGCTGCAGGTTCATTGAGCTCTTTTATAAAGTGAAGCTGTGGTCAAAGTGTGACTGGGTGTGAGTGACACTTCCTGTGTGAACGAGTGTTAACACTTCAACGATAACACTTCGATAAAACACTTGTGTTTTATCATCTGTAGAGTTTCATTAAGAGGACAGTTT